GGGGACGACAAAACAGATGATCAGATCCCCTTGTCTTCAGACCCTAACTTTTGGGCTTCCCAGTAACAACCAGTTTGCCCACCGTTAGGCTGGAGCGCGGGGTGGGGGTAGGAAGGGAAACCTGTATGCCGCCGCCACGTGCTTCTTGGCGAAAGGGCAGATTTAAAATAAATAAGCAAATATTAAATAATATCGCCCCCCAAATAATTATATAAATAAATAGAGTACAGCTGCATGCCCTGGCATGCCCACGGACTTCACTCAATGGGGTGGACCACTACCGGAAGCGGGATACTAAAACACACACACACACACACACACCCCGGACCCACATACCCCATGGTCAGTGCATAAATGAGCAAAACCCTCATTTATCTCCGCGGGGGTTTAAGTCTGAGCAGACATGCAGAGGGATGGGCGCTGGGTGGATTCTCTCTGTGTGTCTGATCCACCCAGGTTCTCATGCTCTCCCCCTAAAGAGGAGGCTTCCCCCACCCCCTCCATTTCGCAGTGCTTTGCCTCTCCCCATAACACTCTCCTCCCCATACCTCGGGCAGGTTCACCCCCCTTTCCGCGGTGGGGGCTCCGGCGGCTGCTGCTCCCCTTTCCAGGGCCCGCCGCCCGCCATCTCTCCTCCTCCACAGCCACCCGGCTCTGCCCAACCCGCGGCCGGCAGCCTCCCTGCAGAAAATCACGTGACGTAGTCTATATAGGAGGGGCGGATATATAGAGTAGCGAGCGCCGAGGGCGGGAGAGGCCGTCGCCGGCCCACGTGACGGGAGGCAAGGCAGCAGGGGTCGGAGCGGCTCGCAAAGTTTCCGGGGTGGAAGGACGCGGGGTGAGCAAGAAGCACATAGAGTTAGAAATAGCAGTAGAGGGACACATGCAGAGCGAGCTTCCGGTTCCAGGGGGCCTTTCCTTTCCCCTCCAAAGACAGACCTCCCCAGCCCTAGAGATGGGTGGAGGCTTTTGGCGGCAGCCGGTGTCCGTAAGAAAGAAGGCAGCGGCAAAGCCAGGGCGGCTCATGGGCTTTCTACCTCTGGATTTTGTTTCGTGGAGGTTTTCTCCGCTGATGCTGAAAGTGGGAGACCTGTTTGCCTTTAATGAGGAAACAGGCTTCCAGCCTCTCTCAACCTGTGGGTCCCCACATGTTGTTGAACTACAACTCCCATCACCCCTAGCTCAGGGATGATGGGAGTTGTAGTCCAACAACATCCGGGGACCTACAGGTTGAGATCCCGGGGATCTGCAACACTTAATGGCTAACATTTATTGGGACATAAGGCTCTCTAATCCGGGTTAGATGGAGCAGTGCTTTTTTTTCTTTAAAAAATGTTTAGGGTACTCTCATTTTCCTACTCACATTGAAATACTGCCCCTCAATGAGGCCAAACTTAGATTCACAAAATGATTAGGGGTATGTTACCCCTGCGTCCCTCCAGAAAAAAAGCGCTGGATGGATGCATTTCCTCCATTTTTCTTTTGTTTTTTTACAAATAACTTCAAACTTTTTAAAATAAAAACCCCAAACCCATTAATTAAATGAAGTCTTGCTATTCACACCACTTCCTACGTTGCCTTTACATAACACACAACACACACAAGGGCAGATATGCATGTTTGTGTGTAACGCTTTAAGTGATGCGAAATCATTCACGTGGCACATAAATGCAGGAATAGGTCGCGTGGTGAGGGAAGAGTGACTTCGCCTGCTCTCTGCTTGGGCCACGATGCTCTGACCACCTGTGCCGCTTTACCTGTGAGTGAGGCCTTTTGGACAGGTCAGAACTTAATAATAATAATAATAATAATAATAATAATAATAATAATAAATTTTATTTATATCCCGCCCTCCCCAGCCGAAGCCGGGCTCAGGGCGGCTAACAACACTAAAACAGTACAACATTATAAATACATTCTAAAAATTAATTAAAATACAAATTGATGGCAACCATAGACTAAAGCTTTGTAGAGATTGCCAAAGGAGGGAGTCAGGCTGCGCCCTGACCAAAGGCCTGGTGGAACAGCTCTGTCTTACAGGCCCTGCGAAAAGATGTCAAGTCCTGCAGGGCCCTTGTCTCTTGCGACAGGGCGTTCCACCAGGTTGGAGCCGCAGCCGAAAAAGCTCTGGCTCTAGTTGAGGCCAGCCTAACCTCTCTGTGGCCTGGGACCTTCAAGATGTTTTTATTTGAAGACCGTAAGTTCCTCTGTGGGGCATACCAGGAGAGGCGGTCCCGTAGGTACGAGGGTCCTAGGCCGTATAGGGCTTTGAAGGTTAAAACCAGCACCTTAAACCTGATCCTGTACTCCACCGGGAGCCAGTGCAGCTGGTATAGCACCGGATGAATGTGGTCTCGCAGCGAAGACCCCGTAAGGAGTCTCGCTGCGGCATTCTGCACCCGCTGGAGTTTCTGGGTCCAGTCTCAAGGGCAGCCCTACGTAGAGCGAGTTACAATAATCTAGTCTGGAGGTGACCGTCGCGTGGATCACAGTGGCTAGGTCAGGGCGAGAGAGGTAAGGAGCCAACTGCTTAGCCTGGCGGAGATGAAAAAAATGCCGCCTTTGTTTATAGCTGCAATCTGCGCCTCCATGGAGAGGGAGGTATCAAAGATTACACCCAAACTCTTAACGGACGGTGCTGGCATTAATTGCACCCCCGCAAGAGAAGGGAGTTGAGAGAAGGGAACTTAGGTGTCTTGGTGCCTGGGGGCTAACGCCGTAGTTTTATAGTGCGAAATAAAAATAGTTGCAATGCAATGATAAACAAGTATTTATCATTTAAAGTTATGGCCAGTGGGTTCCCCCCCTAAAATGTTTAGGGCTACTCTCATTTTCCTGTTCATACTGAAATACTGCCCCTCAATGAGGCCAAACTTAGATTAACAAAATGTTTAAGGGTATGCGTACCTCTGCATCCCCCCAGAAAAAAAGCACTGGTTATGGCTGTGAGAGAGTAGCTGTAAGCACTGGCCTTTTACAGCACAACAGGCCTATGATTTTTAAAAAGGGGTTGTATTGGTGACTGTATTGGTCAGTTGGATCTAATGGCATCATCTGAAACATTAGCAGCTGATGCATCTGCTCATCTTCCAAAGTGATCTATGCCATCATCTGCCAGCAATACCCTTCTGCGGTCTACAAAGGACAAACGGCGAAGTCTCTCTCTCTGTAAAATAATAGGAAAGGCTCTTTGTGAAATAATAAAAGGACACCAGGAACAGCATTATCCAGAAAGCATTAGAGGGATATTTGAAACCATACAGGACACTCTTTAACTGAGCTTAATGCCGCCATCCTTGAACAAAGGAACTTAAAAATGAGACTGCAACTTGAAACTGCTGGGCTACTGTTGGGGCAAAGGTGTTTTTTCCTCTTATACTACATGATCCAACTCTACAATTCTATGATCTACATGTGCTTATTTGCTCACCAATGCCAGGATGCCTATTATCAATATTTTGTGTGTGAAAGGTTACCATTAATAATGTAATTATTACAATCTGTACATTATTTCTCCCACCATATGAAAATATACTGTATTTCTGTAACTAGAATAACCATTCACCTGATGTAGTGAACTGCAGTCAAAAAATTATGCTATAGTAACAAAACTCTTTGTTGTTTTAACATTTAGGAAACAGTTGAGAAACAAATGGAGCAACTTTATTTAAAAGTTGATTCCCCCATCTCCAGAGTTGAGATCGTAGGACAAATACTTGTTTCTACTAAATAGCTTTTATTGAAAGAAAAAAACAAACATTCTTTGAAAAAGTTGTTCTCCTGTGTATGACTCACTTATGAGCTACAGCAAGCTGTGCTCCCCTCGTCTTGTAAGAAACTCAAACCCAACCACCACCACCAATTGGTTCCTTGCTTTGCTTTAACAGAGAAGTCCCAGAAACAAAATAACTGCGTTATAAAGTTCATTTACTGAACCATTTACATGAACCATCCTCATGGAGAATAGTTTAAAAACAGTCTACTGACTGCTTCCTTTTAGCCTTGAGTTACAAAATCCAACTGAGTGTTGAAAAATTACTTGGCACAGTCTACTCTTGCACTCAGAACCAACCATAAAATGTCATCCCTCCCCCCCTGCATTTACAACAGTGTAACTTTAAGACAACCTAGACCACATGGAGTTTTTCTTTAGTCCTGTATCTTATATCAGTCTAAATCCTGTATCTTATATCAGTCTAAATGCTCAACCAATTTCTTTCTCAACATCAATACTGACTTCCATTGAGGAATTTTGCTGGCTCCTGCCCAAAAACATGTAACGAGCAGATGCTTTTTCTTGCAACTAAGAGAGAGATATTTACTCAGGCCAATAACTGTACAGGCTCAGCTGCAGATGCAGAGCTCAGGGTTCATGAGCAGGATGAATAGGTTAGAACTGGACGGAAGCAACCAAGATGTCCCAACAAGTTTCCATGCTCCACCTGCCATGTTTTTAAGGACCCAGCATAGTGCACTCACTCGTAACACTTGGCTCACTCTTTGAGGTCAGGATTGCAAATGTGCACTCTTTCAGGGTGGGTTGGTTTGTTTCCTATCAGTGAAGGTGCTGCCTGGTTCTAAGCGACAAAACTGCACCTTCCTGTTAGGGCTCCTGTTCAGTTGTTACTGCCTCTGGCTTAATCTTCAGCTTTGGCTGCTCCAAGCTCACAGTTCCGCAGGAAAGTTCCCTCGCTCCCTCTTCCCAAGTGACTGAAGTTGCAGTGGAAAGGAGTGATCCCTCCACCTCCAATTCCCACTATTCAGGCCCCGCCCCCTGTTGCTTCCTCCTCCTGCATCAGTCGGCAAACCCAATCCTGACCTAGCAGTACTGCAGGGCTCTTGACAGAAACTGGCCCTGGGAGAAGGGCGTTGTCATGCCAGTAGCTGCTGAGCTTGAACCATCTTCGGGTGAGAATGAGCAATATGGCACCCAAAGATTCATCAGGGGGAAAAATAGGTCCTTGCCCTCAAGAGGCTTACAATAGACAGTGGGTAAAAACAATGGGAGGGAGGGAGGGAGGGAGGGAGACATGGGATGAATGTGAAGGAGAGCGGGAGGATCCTGTAACAGTGAGTCAATGCCTCATCAGATCTCAAGCTTTCCTTTACTACTGGAATCCCAAGAGTTGTCACTTTTTGCCTCTGGAACATGCGTGGCCCTCCAAAATCAAATTAACTTCAGCTCTCAAACGTTCCTGCGCCATCGTTTTAGTGGAGGCACTGCAACAAGGCATCGCGATTCTAGCGAAGGGAAATGGGGCTCAGTGGCAGCAGTGAAAGCCACAAGGTGTTCTTTAAAAACAATTAGTAATCCAGCAGCTTTTCTTGGATTGCCCCCACATCACTTCTGAGGTCCTCTTTCATTCATTTTTCATCTCCTTGGTTGCGGCAGGTGTGAAGGAGGCATTGGGGCCAGCTGCACGAAAGTCTTCATGCTCACATCGCTTCCCCCCCCCAAAGCTGCACCAGCCTTGTAAGCCATAAATAGCACACTGGGGGTGTGGGTGGGTGTCTAAACAAACATGGTCGCCGCTATCAGAGGCTGGAAAATATAGCCAATGGTCAGGAGGATCGAGGAGCCGGAGCAGGTCCGATGTCCTCCACGTGGTACATTCCAGCTGGAAGTGCCTCCCGTCAGTCTTGCCCATCTTCTGCCTGGACAAGCAAGTACCCGTTGCCTTGGTGTTCAGTATCAGCGGGGCTCTCTCTTTCTGCCACCTCGTCGTCATCCTCTGTGGGTACAGGCGCCATCACCATGCCAGACCGGCTGCCACGCTGGGCAAACCAATCCTTCAAAAGCTGCCGGAGAAACATCACTGGGATGGGGAGAGCAGCCAGAACAATGAGGCCTACGAGGAGGCCCAGGGCCCAGGGAGGATATTCCAGCATCTGCTCCTCTGCCTGGAAAGGGAGACAACCAAGAATTATTACTGGTTTTCAAAACTGAAATTTACTATCAACCATGTAGGAATGGAAATTTAGTGGGCCCATCTGGACTCTGAATCAGGCTTCTCTCAGTCCAAGATGCACTAGGCCTTCAATGGCTGCACAGCCAGAAAATTTCCCCATCAGCCCTCATCTTACTTAGAGAATTGACATTATCAGCAATATGGCCTGTGGAATTCAAACAGTTCTCTTTTTGAGCTGAGAAAAGGTTCAGGATGGGACAACCAGAAATGATCTAGGGGTTGGAGCAACTGCCCTATGAGGAAAGGTTACAAAATTTCTGTAACATTTAGCGAAAAGGCAAGAAAAGGGGTGTGGCAGGATGGAGGTATATAAGTGCATGCATGATATGAAGAAAGTGGGTAGGGAAAGATTGTTCTCCCTCCCTTGAGGCCATCCAAGGAAGATGAATGTTTCAGGATTAAGGACAGGGAGAATAAATATTTCTTCACACTGTGCATGGTTAAAACTTTAGAATCTGCTCCCACAAAATGTAGTGATGGCTTTAAAAGAGGATTAGACAAATTCATTGAGGGTAAGGCGGTCAGTGGCTACAAGCCATGGAAACTATGGTCTACGTCCACTGAAGAAGGCACTATGTCTCTGAATATTAGTTTCAGAATCACAAGGTGGGGGGAGTGTTGTTGTGCTGACATCCTGCTTGCAGGCTTCCTATAGGTACCTGGTTGGCCACTGTGAGAACAGGATGCTGGACTAGACGGGCCACTGGCATGATCCAGCAGAGCTCTTTTCTTACATTGTTAGGCCAGTTGGGTCTCATGGTTGGCTTCCCTAAACTAACCCAGAGCAAAACCAAAACACTCTTCTAGATCCAAATGGTATGGAAAGATAGTCCTGGTAATGGAAGACCTGGTACAGTGATACCTTGGATTACAGACGCTTCAGGTTACACACTCCGCTAACCCAGAAATAGTACCTCGGGTTAAGAACTTTGCTTCAGGATGAGAACAGAAATCGCATGGCGGTGGCAGCGGGAGGCCCCATTAGCTAAAGTGGTACCTCAGGTTAAGAACAGTTTCAGGTTAAGAACTGACCTCCAGAATGATTTAAGTTCTTAACCCGAGGTACCACTATAATCAAGTGTAATCCATTTCTTTGGGAAGCTTGTCTGCTATTACTGAGCAACTCAACACGCGTTCAGAGAGCCAGAGGGCTCCCTCCCCAGAATGCCACTGGAAAAAATACTGCATTTGTGGATTAAAGCAGGGTTTCCCAAACATGAGTTTCCAGCTGTTTTTGGACTACAATTCCCATCATCCCTGACTCCTGGTCCTGCTAGCTAGGGATGATGGGAGTTGTAGTCCAACAACAGGTAGTCACCCAAATTTGGGAAACCCTGGATTAAAGCTTTAAAAGCCCTGGATCTTGACTCTTTAGCAACCAAGAAATATATCACCATTACTGTTTTGTTACAGAGAGTGGAAAAGAGGCAGTGGATTGGAGAAGGTCACCTAGTGAATCCATGGCAGTTTTCAGCCCGTGACTTTCAGATCCAAATCAAAACATCTGATGCTTAGGATATGCAGCAGAAGTACCCATGGGGACTATGTGCAAGAAAAGTCATTGCCACATCTGGGTACAGAGGGTATAGCTTGATAACCTGTTGGTGGAAGTTGGGGAGCAGGGCTCCGCCACTCAGTTCCCTCTTGCACTTCACCCACATTGCCACTTTTATCCCCTTCCTGTATGCACAAAAGCTCACAATGAAGTAGGCTTTAGGGTCCCACAGGACTCCTGGTTCTTTATACAGTGGAGCGGTCCCCAGACTATGCTTAATTTTTTAAAATGAAAAGCGGCCAGGGCAGCTGCTATTGGTCGGAAACATGAAGGGGTGTGACTGGGTGGAGTGCGCCTCTTACCTTTTCTCTGTTCCAGGCCTGGTAGGTGGGCCACTTCATAGCCATGTGCACCAGACTCGCTAGCAGCAGGCACAGCATCGCTCCCAGGCTGACAAAGCGCCACATGTAGCTGTAGATCCTCCAAGGCCGCCAGCCCAGCATGTCTTCTATGTCGCTTAAGAACCTGCGGACGAAGGGAAAAGGATCAAGATGGCAGACGAGGCACCTTAGGTGTTAAGATACCCCGGAAGCACAGGGGGAGAAGAAAAACAGGCTCTGCCCAAAGCCACAAGGTAGACATTCTCTCCCACCTGCCCACCCCTCTCTTGAGAAAGCAGGGTAGAGAATTACCTGTCTGCTCCGTAGATCCAGGCCACGGCAAAAGCTTCAAAAGCCACAACAATAAGCAGGGGCAGGGTAGCAGAGTAGTCGTCAAACATGGACACAAAATAGCTGCCTGACCGTTGCACGAAAACCAGGCCCAGCAGGAATCCAATAATACAACACAGCACTGTGGGGAGAGAGAAAAAGGAGAGCAGGTTGGCTTGGCTGGACACCTGTTGGACCGCAGGGGCCCCGGTGTAGTGGTCAGGCAGGATTGCTATGAGGAATTATGAAAAATGAAGCAAGCCATTGTGTCAGCAGTGAAAGCATTGCTTTGACTGGGTTTGAGTCATTGACATGACTTCTCATCAATCCCACAAGCCTCTGCCGCATTTTCTCTATGCCTGACAGTCACGTATAAAGCATTCTATACAGACCAGTTGCTTCACCAGGCATCCTGGGTACATAAAGATAAGGTGGTAGCTTTGATGTAGCTTTTGTTAATCTTTAGGTAGATTTTAGGGCTAGGAAACAGAGTTCACGTGGAGGTGATAAAATGCCTGGCTTTCTTGTTTACTGCCTGTTTATGACTTCTGGGGTTTGCTAAATGTATTCCTCCTTGGTTCCTGTTTTATTTAGCTTGAACATGTATGCATGCTCAAATAGGAAATAGTTCTTTGTAGTTAAGAGGCTTCCTCTGATCTGTCCCCACGTGGGGATTTTTTGAAATGCTCAGAGGAAATCTGATTGGTTCTTACAAACGCTGTGTTAAAGTCCTTTGGTTAATAAAAATGGCCTGGGCCAGGGAGTGGCATGCGCACTTTCTCCCAGGTCTTGCTGGTCAAGCCTCGTGTCTATTGTATTAATCAGGGTCCAGTCCTTCCTTTGCCTTCAGAACGCAACACCCCAGTCTTGACAGGAGACACAGAGAAAGATTACAAGAACTTCGTAAACTGAAAACTAGTGTTTGAGTTTGTATTTTTTCCTCCTGCCTGCCAGTCCCTTTTCTTTGAGCGCTGTGCCTTTTAGACAGCAATCCTGAGGCCAGGGACTGCCTTATTACTAACCTTTGTAAGTGGGAGCCTTTTACAGCTAAAGAGAGATGACAATTACATATTTGAAGTATTTTTATTGTGCCTCTGTTGTACCTTATTTGATGTTTGCTTTCATCTGTACAACACTACAGAACTTTGTTGTTTTGCAAAATAAAACCCATCCACCTCACTCTTCTGCCCCCTGATGGATGTTGTTCCGTCTCTTGGTTATGGGTTCTGCCATACCTGTGAAGAGGGTCCGCCGGCGCTGGAGGCTGTGGAAGTTGTCCAGCAATGGAGTGATGATCCCTTGCATGTTCCCCAGCATAGTGCTCAGCCCCAAGTTCAGCAGCATGAAAAAGAACAGCACCGACCAGAATGGGGAGGTTGGAAAGAGGGTCATGGCCTCCGTGAAAGTGATGAAAGCCAGTCCTGTGCCTTCCACATCCTGGGAGTTTGAAAAGAAGAAAAATCTGGGTATCAGCCACTGAAATGGGCAAGTGACAAGCTTACACCTATCGGAAAGAAATACCTAACACCTGGGCAATCTGCCATACAGGAAGTAGCAGTTTGTGGCACTCCTAATTGAATAGCAACAGGGACTATGGCTCTGTTCATGCCATAGGCCACGGTTTCTCCAACCTGGGTCTCCAGCAGCTTTTGGACTACATTTCCCATCATCCCGGACAACTGGTCTGGATAGATAGGGATGATGGGAGTTGTAGTCCAACAACAGCTGGAGGCCCATGTTTGGGAAACCCTGGCATAGACTAAGGGTGGGGAACATGTGACCCTCCAGGTGCTGTTGGACTCCAGCTCCCATCAGCCCAAGCCAACATAACCAATGGCCATAGATGATGGGAATTATAGTCCAGCAACATCTAGAAGGCCAAATGTACCCACGCTAGGTTTATGGGGCTTCATCTATTTAAGTGCTCACACCTTGGTTTTGTTTTGTTTTGAAGGCTTTCCCCCTTTGCCTTAAAATTGAATCCAGGAGGTTTTGTGATTGACACAAGGGCCAGCCAGTGCTGTACAGTGCTCTGCTTTGAGAAGCTGGTGAAGCAGCTTCATGATTGGTTGCCCTTGCGCCAATCAAACCAGTATACCTGAAGAAGCATCTCCACCCCCGTTGTTCTACCTGGACACTGAGGTCCAGCTCTGAGGGCCTTCTGGCAGTTCCCTCCTTGTGAGAAGTGAGGTTACAGGGAACCAGGCAGAGGGCCTTCTTGGTAGTGGCACCCGCCCCGTGGAACACCCTCCCATGTCAATGAAATAAACAACTATCTGACTTTTAGAAGACATCTTAAGGCAGCCCTGTTTAGGGAAGTTTTTAATGTTTAATGCTTCATTGCTTTATTATTACATAATATAATTATAATAATATATAATATATAATTATAATAATGTTCTGTTGGGAGCCACCCAGAGTGGCTGGGGAAACCTAGCCAGATGGGTGGGATATAAATATACTACCAGTACGATGATGACAATTTATTATTATTATTATTATTATTATTATTATTAATAATAATAATGCAGATCTGGCTACTCAAAACAGAGTCCCTCAAAGGTGACTTTTAAACACTTTTAAAAACAACTATGAGAGTTCAGGCACAGCTCATACATGTCTCATTCACACAAACATAGCTCACCAGCCATGGATTGTGGTCTGCTTGATCACCCTATGTTTACAGCGTGTATCCATGTGTGTGTATTACACACACACACACACACACACACACACTTCAATTCCAGGGAAATTCACTGAGTCCCAAACATGCTGCCACACTAGGCAGGAGGCTACATTTCGACTGACACGGCACAAGTTATGCAAGCCCATCTCTTGCCCCTCGGACACAACCCCAATAGGCAGCTGCTTCTGACGGCTTCCCCCCCTTTCGCAGCAGCCCAGCCTGCCTGCCTTCCTCCCCCCCAGTCACCTTGTGCATCTCATCCTCTGCGCGGCAGTCACTGATCTTCCACATCTGCAGCCACTCTGCTGTGTCGTTCGGAAGACCCTGATACCAAGCGCTGTACTCAGCAGCCGAGAGGTCAGAGAAGTTTCCAAGGTGGGGCAGCGTGGCAGGGAGGGAGCCGTTTGATGCTAGAAGAGACAGGGTTTTTGTATTCCTGGGGGGAAAGGAAAAGGATGGCAAGCAGCGAGGCCATTAATCAGGAATTACTCCAAATCTGAAAACACAAAGCCAACTAGCTGGGTAGAGCGTGAGACTCTTAATCTAAGGGTTGTGGGTTTGAGCCCCATGTTGGGCAAAAGATTCTTGCATTTTCGGGGGATTGGAATAATAATAATAATAATAATAATAATAATAATAATAATAATAATAATAATAATAATAAATTTATACCCCGCCCATCTGGCAGAGCTTCCCCAGCCACTCTGGGCAGCTTACAAACAAATATTAAAATACAGTAATACATCAAACATTAAAAGCTTCCCTAAACAGGGCTGCCTTCAGATGTCTCTAGTGGTCCCTTCCAACTCTATAATTCTATGATGTGGTATCCCAGGGCATCTCCCAAGGGCACCTGATGCCCTGCACTATGATCTGCCTCCAAGCTTGCTCCTTCCATCACAGAAGGCAAGCAGGAATGTAATCAACACACAACTTCCGAGGCTCTTCCCTTTGCTCCTCTGAAGGACGGAAGCTTGGGAGCATGTAATGAGCCTTACTCAAACTGAATGGATCCCTGGATGATGCCAAAATAAGTTTCAAGTGAGAGAAGAAGAAGAAGAAGAAGAAGAAGAAGAAGAAGAAGAAGAAGAAGAAGAAGAAGAAGAAGAAGCAGCAGCAGCAGCAGCAGCTGTGGGAGGGGATGATTGGTTTGTTTTTGTTCTTGCTTTTATTATGTATTTTGTGTTTTTTATCTTGTGTTTTTATGTTGTCAACCACCCTGACATCTACAGATGAAGTGTGGTATACAAATTTAAATAAGAATACAGTCGTACCTTGCAAGTCAAACAGAATCCATTCGGGAAGTCCATTCAACTTACAAAACATTCGGAAACCAAAGCGCAGCTTCTGATCAGCTGCAGGAAGCTCCTGCAGCCAATCGGAAGCTACAGAAGCCCTGTTGGACATTCAGCTTCCGAAAATAGTTTGCAAACCGAACAGTCACTTCCAGGTTTGTGGTGTTCGGGAGCCAAAACGTTTGAGAACTAAGCTGGTTCAAAAACCAAGGTATGACTGTAATAATAATAATGGAATGGAATTTCTCCAAAACAGCCCTCTAAATGGCCGTGGATGGGTAAAATTCGGAAGACTATGGTTGGATACAAACCTAACTCAGCAAGGGGTGGATTTGAGATCCCCTCCAGGAATTCCCGTGTGTGTGTGTGTGTGTGTGTGTGATTCTTTGATCTCCTGATGGCATCAGGGTAGTTATAAACAACCTTGCATAACTTACTTGTTTGCATACATGCTTTCGTGTTTTGTTCAAAAACCCCCAACGTAGAACCACTGGACATGAGAAATAAAGCCAAGGATGTCGCTGCCTGCAGCCTTGTCCTACAGCAGCAGAACCCCAAAGAGCTAAATATGTCAAAAGTGGGTTGGGGGGGGCAGGACACAGGCAGGCAGGCAGCTACTCACCTCTCCACACAGTCCTGTGTGATCATGTTGGCACGGAAGCCCAGCACAGCAAACACCACAAGTGTGGCCAGCACTGAAGTAAGGAAGTTGATCCCAGACACCAGCAGCCCGTCGATGTGGCAGTTGTTGTGGCGCGGGTTATAGCTGGAGTAGGCAATGATGGTCCCAAAGCCCAGCCCCAGGGCAAAGAACACCTGGGTGGCTGCCTGGCGCCAGACCTGCATGTCTCTCCAGATGGACAGCTAGAGGTTGGGCAAAGAGGACAAGGGTACAGGATTCATCCTCATGAATTCATCCTCAGAAAAGGAGAGGGGGTTTTCCAACAGAAGTAAATACTGGCAAATTAGAACTTGTCAGGAAGTTTGATTCTATGCGTTTAGGCCCAGATCAGGATAATGGTCTCCTCTCACACAAAGGATTTACCACCTTTGTCTTAACTGTGCTTTGTCATCTTAATTTTGCTTTTTTTCTTCATTTCCCATTGCCACTCTGGCAAAGAGCCACTGTTTATTTTGCAAGCATTTAATTTTTACATAGGAATTCCACTTTTCACAGTGATTTACCTACACTGTTCACATTTTTTTCCACTCTCTATGCCCATATATGCACCTACTTGCCAATGCAAGGCTAGTACTTCATGCATTGATGAAGTAGTCACTATCTGGCAGGAGTTTGCTGAGCCAAATGGTCTGATTCAGTATAAATTATAAATTAGGTTAAAAGGTAAAAAGTAAAGGACCCCTGGACAGTTAAGTCCAGTCAAAGGCGACTATGGGGTTGTGGCGCTCATCTCGCTTTCAGGTCGAGGGAGCTGGTGTTTGTCCGCAGACAGCTTTCCAGGTCATGTGGCCAGCATGGCTAAACCACTTCTGGCACAACAGAACACTGTGACAGAAACCAGAGCACATGGAAATGCTGTTTTCCTTCCCACCACAGTGGTACCTATTTATTTACTTGCACTGGTGTGCTTTCGAGCTGCTAGGTTGGCAGAAGCTGGGACAGAGCAACGGTAGCTCACCCCGTTGTGGAGATTCGAACTGCCGACCTTCTGATCAGCAAGCCCAAGAGGCTCAGTGGTTTAGACCACAGCACCACCAGTGTCCTATGTTCCAGCGTTTTCTATATGCATTCATTAATCTATTACTTGCAGTAATATTGCCTTCTCTTTTGCCAACAGTTTTGATGCGTTGTTCCACTGGATTATTTTAAGCCAGTTTTTAATTGTTTGGTTTGGATTCGTTTCTCTGTTAAACACGTCTGCACCACTTTTCTCCAGTACTATGGAAGTTTTATAAGTAAACAAGTGAAATAATGCTAGCCCTGCGGTTAAATGCTGGGGGGGGAATAAAGGGAATCTGCATGCATTGGGGGAAGTGGGCACACGTCTACGGGAGTGTTATTCCTTTGCACAGAGCTCTTACATTGGGTGTGAACATGATTCTGATCCCATCAACCGCTCCTTCTAGCAGCAGCGCCCGTACGAGGAAGCACAAGAGGACCACGTAGGGGAAAAGAGAGCTGAAATACAGAACCTGCAAAGGAGACAGGGGTGAAGAGAGAAAATCAAAACCAGGGACTGACAGCCTGTTTGTGGTGAAACAACCATTGGTACAAGATGCTGGCATTTCATTTCCAAGTTCTCCATCCCAGGTTCTCTGACATTGGGACCAGCAGTGGACAATCTTAGAACCATGCTTATGGATCCTGATCCATTTGAAGGCAAAGCATGATTTTAAAACACTATTAATCAGAGCAGGAGTAGGGAAACTTTGGTCAACAAGCAAATCCTGCCCTGCCAGCAAGGTCCAAGTTGGCCATTTCTTCCAAACCCAATGCACCTCTACATTGGCTGATGTCACTTGATAATATCAGCTGTGGGGCAGTAGTGCTCAGCAGGGAGCCGGGTGGGGCTTTGCAAGTGCATCCCATGCGGGGAACGCACTGACAAAGTAGAAACCTGTGGCCAAACTTTCTGCTGCTCAGCTGGTGAGCAGAGGGTTCTCTCCTGCTGGTGTTGATGAAGCAAAACACTTCCTCCTACCCAGGTCAACGTTTGATGAGAGGGAAAGTGCCCTCGCAACTGACCTTGCCAGAGGACTTGATGCCTTTGATCATTGCCAGGCACACAAGAGCCCAAGCGGCAAAGAGGCAGCCGGTAAGAGCCGGGTCAAGGCCTCCGCTCTCGTCAAGGGAGTTGGTCACATGCAAGGCCTTGCGGTACCAGAAGTAGACGGTGGGAGAACTGTGGCCACACTCCGTTTCTAAGATGAGGACAAGGACACACACACACACAGAGAGAGAGAGAGAGAGAGAGAGGTGCAAAGGTTAGGGGCAGAGTGTCGTTGGTGAGGCTTATTTGACAACAAGGAGCTGAGACTTTCATGTCACCGGCCCAACGCTGTGGAATATTCTGCAAATCAGAGATTTAGTAGGCAACTTCTGTTTCAATTTTTAAATGCCTGCTGGAAACTTTCCTATTCCATCAGGCCTATGCATGCAATTAAAAATCCAGCTTTCCACAATAATTAGCTTATTTCTGATTTAAACATTTTATATGGTTTTTATTGTGTGGTTTTATGCACAATTGCTTGTAAATCGCTGTTATTTTTAATGAATAGCAGTATATAAATATTTTTATAAATAAGGTAACTGGACAAAAAAATCAAGCCCCTCTCCTCCCTTTTCCCATCCATACTTTGGTATGGTTAACTGAAGATTATGGGGTTTTTTGAGGAAAGAACTGAAAAAATACTAGTTTGGCAAATATATATATACAGTGGAACCTTGGTTCCCGAACGGTTTAGTTGCCGAACAAATCGGCTCCCAAACGCCGCAAACCCGGAAGTGTTCTTGTTTGCGAACGTTTTTTGGAAGCTGAACATTGGACATGGCTTCCGTTTGAGTGCAGGAATCTCCTGCAGCCAATCGGAAGCTGTTCCTTGGTTTTCAAACAGTTTCGGGAGTCGAATGGACTCCCAGAACGGATTAATTTCAAGAACCAAGGTACCACTGTATCTCAAGCTCATCAGCACTTCCTGACAATCGGGAGTTCATTTTGTCTCCGTACAATGACATCAAGGCAGCTTCAGCCCTGCCCCCTCCTCAAACCTTCCAATCCCTTACCTGGAGCAGTTTGATTGGTTGCTGCTGGGCAATCAGTCCAAGGCAAGGGTAACTGGAAGGAGTTAGCCAGGTAGAAAAGACTCCATGCAATGATGACATTATAATACAGGGCAACAAAGGAACAAACCTGAAGAGGAAGAGGAAGAAATCAGCGTCCTTCTCACTCCATCCCCAATGGGCACTGACACAGCTACCTCAGGGGAAGGGGCAGCTCTTTAGGGTCAAAGAACATGTTAAAACACATTTTTATGTCATGCGTTCAAAACTGGTCTCCTCTCCTCCCTTAAGAAAAATCAGGCATGGGGGCCCACTGATCTGAATTGGGTTAATCATGTGTTGGGGGAGGGGGGGAACGCCTTACATTTGCCTCCTGAAAATGGCTTCCAGAAGCTCCCTTGTACCCAAAAGATGCTATTTACAGCAAATAGCACCTTCAAGCACAATTTTTGGCAGGAAAATTTATTGCCCCTCCCTTCCAAGAAATTTTTTCGAAAGAAACAGATGTGGTCTAAGCCCGTTAGTTAAAAATATTTTTAATGAGAAGTGTCGTTCGATCCTTAGGATCATATTCCCAGCACTAAAATGCAGCTGCTTCGGGGGCGAGATACTGGAGATGTTTAACATGTCTGTCCCCAGGAATTTAGGGCAGGATGTTAACTGCAATTGGCAATTATTTCACTGGCGGTTTAATCTAGGCAAGGCAGAAGAAGGCTGAGGGGAGAAGCCCTTCGCTCCACCAATTCCATTACTCACTGCCATCTGGATAATTAATTTGTGGAATTCACTGCCACAAGATATGGTGGAGGTCACTACCTTAAGTGGCTTTAAAATGGGATTAGACAAACTTGTGGAGGACTTGTCTATCAATGGCTATCAGCTGGCATGAGGGGACAATGGAGCCTCCATGCTTGGAGGAAGTCTAGCTCTGAATTCCAGTTGCTGGCGGAGGGTGGCATTAGCAGCAGAGAACTGTCTCCTTCACACCCCCTCTTATGAGTATCCAGTTGGCCGCTATGGGAAGCAGGCCGTGGGACAAGATCAGGGCTGAGGAACTGGTGTCTCTTGAGATGCTGTTAGGACTCCAATTCCCATCAGCCTCAGCCAGCATGGCCCAACAGTCAGGAATGATGGGAGCTGTATTCCAGCAACACCTGGAAGGCCACACGTTGCCCACTCATGACACAGACCAGCAGTGGGAGACCCTCTGGCCTAGTTAGGCCTCCCCATTTGGTCCAGGAGGCCATTTTGTTAAACCACATCCACCTGTTTTACACCTATCTTCATTTAAGTCAAGTGTGGCGCAGATAAAGATGGGGCAGGTCGAAGTTTGAAGGTGTCGCTGTGTCTTCCAGGCTGTGTACCTTTGGCAAGCGCCGACAAGCAGCTGATTACTGGCATTTGCAAGGCCCCTGCCTGACAGCAGGCCTTCAAAGTCTGCTTGCAGGCGCAGTCTGGATTAAAAACTCGCCTGCAAACAAATTTCAAAAGCGGGCGCACTGTGGATGCTAATCAGCTGACTGAATCCAACAGCACTTCTCTGAAAGGGCTTTTTCCCATCAGCTGTTCTGTGCCCCTTTGAAGTTGTTACCCAACACCATAATGACATCAGGTGATTGACAGGTGGGGGTGCCCACTCACCTGTCAAAGTTGGCCCGTGGGGGAGGGAGAGGCAGTGCTCCAGCCTGCCAGCTGGATCCAATTCCACACCCCCCCCCAATATAGTATAAGAAGAGCTTGATGGGTGAGGTTGGGGGTGGGCGAGCTCAAGGCAAAAGGTTTTCAGAAGTGCTGCCGGAGGAACAACTCACCACGCAGCTGGCGAAGCCAATGCCCACCAGGCGAGGGCTGATGTACTTCCAGACCCCGATGCTGCCCTGCCGGATAATCTGCCCAGCCGCCAGCTCCAAGAAAAACAAGGGGATCCCAATGATGAAGAGAAGCAGCAGGTACAGCAGCAGGAAGGCACCTGGCCAGGGTGAGACAGACACACACGGCTACAGCATCCAAGCAACACTTCGCTCCCAGACCCCAGAAGTCTCCCCTGATTCCACCAGCCAGTTACCCCCTCCCCCCCGAATCAGAAATAATTTAAGGGAGGAAACAGGTGCTCCCGTGAAAGAGCATTAGGGGTCAGCCGGTTGTGGGGTGAGCTCAACTCCCCCCCCCTTACAGAGACACAAAGACGGTCTGTGGCAAATTCCGATTGCCGCCTCTTCCTGCTCTCCTCCCCACCCACAAGTGGACTCCAGTTCTCTCCCTGTCTGAAGCGCATGCCATGATTATGCAACCAAATATTTGGCTTTTTCAAATAAAGAGGGAGGGGGGTTGTTTTTCTTTTTAAACACCATTGCTTAAACACGTTCAAAACTGTGGTTTTTTGGGGACTGGCACAAGGAAGGTGTTTTCGGGATTGGTACAAGGGCAGCATTGTGAAAATCCAGTTTCTGCCACCCCCTCCCTGCAGAAATGGGTTCTTCCATCCAAAATGGCCAAGGCAGCTGTACACGCTTCCATAGCAGGCTCAAGCTATGCAAGTTTGTTTTGTAAGCACAGCCTGACTGTTACCTGCAACACAAGACTATCCCCCTTCCCATTTACCAGCTGCTGCTCACAGTGGCCAAGAAGTACCCAAGACCCGGGGGTTGTGTTTGTGTATTGCAGGAGAAGCTGGCATGGTGGGGCAGTTCAGTGGCCGTGCTGAGGTTGCTACTTCATTGTCACACAAGTCCACTTTAGGCCCCCAAATGCCTTGGGCCTCAGCACCTTTGGAATTTAAGCAGGCAGCCACTTATGGAAGGGCCTTCTCTGTGGCGGCCCCTGCCATGGCCGTTTCCATCTCCCATACCCTTTTAATAGTGATCTGCTTCTCATCTCTTCTCTTCTATGTGCATCACTGTGAAGGCTGTAACTGCTTTTCAGCTGGGGTGTTTTGCATGGTTTCTAAGTTGAGATGTTCAATGCCTTGAAAGCCCAATGATGCAGAAAGGTGACACAGGCATTTAAAATAAGGAGAAGTTAAAAGGCACAGGTACCTTGCTACAAATGAATGAAAAAGGGGACAATCTTGCTCTATGCCAGCCCCGAGCTTGCAAGAAATGCCCGTATCCACTCACCTCCCCCATTTTTATGGCAGAGGTAGGGGAATCGCCAGACGTTGCCAAGCCCAACCGAAAAGCCAACCTGGGCCAGGATATACTGAACTTTGGACCCCCAGGCCGGGCGGGTATCGGGTTCATCAGTGAGCAGATCTTGATTGAATTCGCCTTCGGCGTTTGCTGCAGATTCGAGGTCCGCTTTGGATTTCTCCATTGGTGGAGGGATGTGATACACACACACAAATTGTGCACGCGGCTAAATCCTAGGGCCCTTGCACAATCACACACCTTCACACTTGTCTGTCCACAATTATGTCACACCCTAAAAAAGACTCTTCTCCTGCAACTAGCACAGGCTCGCGTGTACCATGGGACCAGGGAAACGGAAAGTGAACTGCTAAAAGTGTATACACTCCTTGCACATTAGCAAATCTCTCTCACACTCCCACAGATGTGGGCATTCGTGTGTGTCACACTGTTGTGCAGTCGCAGATGCACATGCCTACAAAATTCTCTATGGGATTGATGCACTGAAACACGAACTAAGCTCACACACATCACTCGATCAGTTCATGCACACACATACGGACAACCCACCCATACAAAGAGGGGTTCTCACTTTGCCCTTGCGTCGTCTGTGCCTACCCTCAATCACAGCCAATTAAAAGAGTTTGGACACTATAAGCATACAAAGATTCACACATGGAGACAGTGTCCTCTAGACTCCGTGAATTGCATATGCTACGAGATGCACACACAGGCACACACGCTTGCCGACTCCTCTCCAAAGCAAAAAAGGATTCAAGCCTAGAAAGAGAAGAAGAATCAGAGAAAGGAGTGAGTGTAAGGCCAAAAGTAAGGTGCCCAGTTGGAGGGTCAGTTTGGATTCCCCAAACCAGCCTTCTTCCACCTGGGAACTACAACTCCCATCATTCCCGCCTATTGGTTATGCTGGCTGGGAACAGTAGGAGTTGTAGTCCAAAAGAGACTCCAAGGAGACTCCAAACCATGGGGTGGGATCGAAAGCTAGCGTTGCGCCAAGCAGAACCACCAAAGTTAATGGGCACGACAGATTCAGGTTCATTCACTTCAATGGCGCTTTTTCGGCGCTACTCTGAGCAGAATTTCGGTCAACATAAGCGCACTGCATTGTGTATTGACTTTTAATTACTTTTTGTCTGGAAAATGAGTAGGAAATGTAACAAATTGAAATGGCAAGATGGACAGATTTTGCCTGCTCCTGTGCTGTCAATTTCTCTGGCCTGTTCCCCAGAAACTTTAATAAGAAGTATTTATTACCATGAAATAGGAGTCAGAGCTCTTTGGAGCCAAGAATATCCCAGCACAAAGTGCCTTTCAAACACTTGTTTGGACATCTTCCTACCACTCCTGTCAGGGGATTAAATTTACGTCAAACTGTGTGTTCTTTTAGGCCTGGAATTATTCAAATTGGCATAAATGCATTTCATTTAAATGCCTTGCAATTTATTTATTTTTCAGCGCCATCTGAAACTTTGCTTGTTTTCCCCCTCTGAATAAACAGGATGGGTATTTGTGGCTGGGGGAAAAATGTTTCTCAAGAAATATGGATGGAAGTGAACAAGAAAATACAGTTCTCTAGAAGTCGGGGGTGGGTGTGGGTGGGAGCTTCGGGGAGCTCCTGGGACAGCTGTGCTGAATTGAGACATCCTTCCCCTGCCTTAGCTAGACCACTAGAATCTATCTTCACCCTGATCCTCTTGGTTTTCTACAGATTATAGGAGAAGTTAGCTGCTGTCAAAATCATTTCAGTGGTTTTCAGTAGCCATGAAAGACCTGAAACTCTAAAAACAAGAATAGAGTTCCCAATGTCTGGATCTCATATTAGCCATAGAGCCACGTTTTCTCTACTCAAGCACAAATCATACTAATGTCTGTATTCCTTGCCTCTAAAGATCAGGTATTTTACAGCAGGTGTGAAGGACCTCAGGCATTGGGGCCTAATGTGCCTGTCCAGGCCTTTCTGTCTGGCCGTTGGAACTTCCCTCAGGCTCTGCTTCCTATCCTAATCCTAACTGTTTTTGCCTGGCTGGAATGTGCCCTTGATTGGTAGATAGATGATAGATATAGATATAGATATAGATATAGATAGGGGTGTGGGTGGGTGTGATACATACAATTGCTTTAACTGTTTTTAGTTAAACTAAGGTCAAATTCACACTACACATTTAAAGCGCTATGATACCACTTTACATGGCCACGACTTCCCCCAAATATTCCTGGGAGCTGTCATTTGTTCAGGGTGCTGGGAGTTGCTAGGAGATCCGTAATCCCCTCACAGAGCGACCGTTCCCAGAGTGGTTGAACTATGAACCTCTCTTCACAGGAAATGTTTTGGAATTGTAATTCTGTGAGGGGAACAGGGTCTCCTACCTAACAACAACACCCGTGGCAAACCACACCTCCCAGGATTTTTCGAAGGAAACCATGACTGTTTAAAGTGGCATCATAGTGCTTGAAATATACAGTGTGGATGCGGCCTGTTTTGACCAGGGGCAAAAGTGGGTGACGCAACAAATGTAAATTCTGCTGTTGCACAGTAGGCTAGCTTCTACACAGACTCACACACCACTCTCTATACTCCATCCGGACGTATAAGAGACCTTATCAGAATTCAGGGGCACATTCCACCCATGGAAAAACGTGCAAGGAGGGCCCTCTTGCCCTGCTGCCGCCCAGGTCTCTGGTCTCTCATCTTTGGGTTAGAGAATTCAGAACAGCCTTGGGCCACAATCTCTGCAAAAGTGGTTGCAACTGCAAAATTTGCAACAAATAATCTCCTCCCCTCCCTTCTTTGTGCGTATTCAGTTACTCTCTCGAAATCTGCCCATGCCGTGGGCAAGCGTGGGAGTGCAATGCCAACTTCAGCGGGCGAGCAGGAGGCAATGCCAACGGTTATCATGCCTGGCTCTGCGTAAGCGGTGAACTTTTCTCCGCTGCCCCCCCCCTTTTCCAGCGCCAATGCCAACCGCTCATTATTTCCCACAATGAGGACTGGAGGCTGGACTAACCTTCACAGACGTAGTGGTGGCCAAGGTCAGATATGAAAGGAAGGAATGTGTGCCAGCTCACGGAGTGGGGGCAGGGAGAGAAAGGGTTCAGGGAAGGGGCAGCGTTGGCACAGGACAGCTCCTGCCTGCCTATCGGGCAGCGCCAGCCGTCTCCCTGCAAAGGCTCCCAGGCATGGTTCGGCAGAGCTAATTGCCTGAAATTAAGGAAAATGTTTATATCTCTAGGTCTGCAGACTATGAAGGCAGTTGCCTTACATATAAGACTTTGCATGTTTGCAGTTCCTTCGTTGCGAAAGATTTTCCACATGACTTCCTATTTACAAAGCTCCCAGAGGACGCTTGAGCTGCATTCACACCTGAATTTAAAGAGCATTTATGGCACGGTGACTTTTTCCAAAGCAACCTGGAGACAGTAGTTTGTTAAAGGGTGCTGGGGAGGTTTAGCTTTTTGAGGCTTAAACTACAGTTCCCAGGGTTCTTTGGAGCAAGCCATGTATGGTGTGTATGCACAGAGATCTCAGGTTCCACCCTCAGCATCTCCAGTTGAAACACTCTCTATTGACAGGGCTGAAGAAAGGTTTTTCCTTTGCCTGAGATCTTGGCTAGGTGGAACCAATGGTCAGAATCCACTTGAGAAGTTTCATATATGATAACAAATACAGAGGACGGCTAAGTATACTCACATGCAGCGAAGGTATCTTACGTGCTCATCTAAGCATGCAACAGGCAAAAAAAAGGTTACAGCAGCATGCCCACTCTCATTTTCTGTCCTCTCAGTCCTTGGCTTCTTAACTTCACAAATTATATCTCCTTGGTGTAGCAATCTGTGAAGGTAGACGAACAGCCATAACTGGGTTGTCCATTCAGACATCACTCCAAATCACAGTTAAGCACAAAACATGGTTCGTAAATACATTTTAAGGTGCAGTTTCCAGTTCTATTTTCCCAGTCAATCCAATCGTAAACCCTAGTTTTTCAATTCGAACGCAGCAAACCATAGTTAAAATTTCTTAACTACGATTTGGCAGGATGTCTGAATTGAGACACATTTAATTAGATGTGGGAATGCCTAACTTCTACTCTTGTGTGGCTTCTGCGTTGCTGCTTATCAGATTCCAGCTTTGTTTCCCAAATATACAATTTCAGCAACAAGATTTTGCTACTTTTTCAGTCTTGTCTTAAGGCTAGAGAAGAATATCAAATGATAGATAAACTCAATTAAGTCTGACAACACAAGATGTTTTATATCACTTAACTGCGATGTAGAAATAGCTGCACCTGTGAACTCACTGAATCCAACAAAATCCCCACAAACACACATTTAATTCTGTGGCATAAATAAAACACATGTAGCTGCATAACAGATTCTCTGAGGCAATTGGGCTGCTGTTAAAAAGCTGCCACTGCACGTACTAAATTGTGCAATGCTTGCAAGTGGCAAACTGTGTGTGGTTTGCCTCAAGGTTTGTTGTTTCAGAAAATGGAGTGAGGAAAGGGCTGCAGACTGATGCTGCATCCTTGCCATACATTTAAAGCACTTTCCAAGCCCTAAAAGTGCCCTGGGAACTGTAGTTTGCTAAGGGTGCTCAGAACCGTAGCTGTTTGAAGCTACAGTACGCAGCCAAAAGCAGAAAACTAGCACATGGGAAGTGGGTGTGGGAGTTCGTAATCCTTTCCCCATGTGGCATTTTCCCACCAAAACACAAACACACACAAAGCTTTTTTTGGAGTGGGGATGCCCCGCAAGGAAAAATACGTATACACACACACACAGCACAATGTTTCCGCTTTAGTTTGCAGCCTCCACGGCTGCATTTTGTCAAAAGTTGGAGATAAGCTACGCAGGACTGAGAACGACATGTAGCTCAAGCCTCGCACCATGCCAGGATCTTGCTTTGTGAGGTGATCTATGTTTAAACAACTGGGCATGGCCTTAGGCTCTTTGTGAGCATGTGTGCTGTGGAACAACACAGCCCTCCTGAGAAGAAAAACTTGAAGAAGCCTCAAGCAAGCAGGCACTGAACTTGTTCAATCGGCCAAACTTACGCAAAAAAGGGTCTTCCAGTTTACATGACCAAAAGCTTTCTATTAACTTCATTGGAGGTTTAAAGGAATCTAACTGAACTGAGGTTCTGCCGTTTCTAACTGCATTATAAGACCTGTAACTTGTGGCTGAGCTTGCTTTTCCCTCCTCCCTCCTTTTCTTTTTCCTTGTGTGTCACATCTTCTTCAGTTATAAGCCTGAGGGCATGGAATGCCTTACTATTAGCGCTGAGGAGGAGCAGATGGCCTAGCAAGCCTGTGCTAGCTACTCCTCTTCCCATCACACTCACTTACCGTATTTGCATTCTCCCCACCTCTAGGCTAGAGGAAGAGGCAAGTAAGCAGGAATGTTGAAGAGCAGGAATAGGGAACATGGACCTCCAGGGTATTTTTGGTCTAAAATTCCATCATCCCTAAACATTGGCCCTGCTGGTTGGAGCTGAGGGAAGTTGGAGTCCAACAAGGGCCGCAGGTCGTTCCAAGCCCCATCTCTGCTGAACTGCAGGAGGAGGCCCCTGGTCTCCAGTAGGCCTCAGGCCAGATCATGGACCTCAACAGGGGCCTGAAGGGATCAACCTCTGGTTCCAGCCCTGTAGAAGACTGAGCTGCATGGTCTTGAATCAAATCAGCGATGAGAGACCCCAGCTGCATGTGAGGAGAGGGAAAGGGGCCACTACCACTGATTGTGCAAAAATGTGCACAAAAACCTCACAGAGATACACCGTATTTATTTATTATTATATTTGTTAGTTGCTTTTCTCACAAAGTGACCCAAAGCAACTTACATTAAAACCAAATAAAGAACTCCCAATAAAAATCTAAAATCTAAAAGGACAGCTGAACAGATAAAACAGATCAGGACTTGCTGTTTTCACCCAACTAAAAGAGGCCACAATTAAGGGCCAAAAACCTGTGTAAAGAAAAAGGTATTCACCTGGTGCCCAAAAACAGACAAGGGTGATGTCTCCCTGGGTGGAGCAGTCCACAAGTTGGGGGGGCCACCACTGAAAAGGTCTGATCTAATTAACTTGGTAACATACCCTTTTGGTTTAAATGTATTCTGAAAATCCTACAAAAAGGAGACAGTTGTACTGTAACACGACTGAAAAGCGTGACTTTTACTGAGTAAAAAAAACTCCAAGGTCCTTCTCCTTGTGGGTTGTGTCTGGCAAAGTCATTGGGCAAGCTACCAGACTTCTGCTCAAGCAACAGAACTTCTTCTTCCGTCTCCTCTCCCTGCAACTCCTCAAATCTGCTTTGGAGTTCCCGCGAACCCTCTGGGGGTGCATAGGAGAGGGAGGAGAAGGAAGAGGGGAAGTTCAGTTGCAGGAGCAGCCAGTCATTGTGCAATGACTTCAGCAGATTCCTCCCCCTGCCAATATTTCACAATCTACTGAGAGCTGAGGATGGAGCAAGACTTACAAGCATCAGACCCCACTATCTCTGAATACAGGTTGCCACCAAAATAGCTACAAGGCGAAGGTACAATCAGTACCTGCTCTCATCACGTTTAATTCTTCCCATCATGTTTAATTCCTTCTTTCTATCCGGAGAGAAAGGTCCTTACCTTGTTTGTTGTCTTGGAAGTCACAGTTTAGGGCTCAGGACTGCCTGCCACAGCACCGGGTTTGCTCCTTTAGGGAAGAGCAAAAACACAGGCAAACATGAGGAGCTGCTCTCCCCAACACGCTCAGAGAAGGCATGAGGAGGGAGCAGAATAGCACCCACCAGCCTCACCCCACAACATTGACGTATGCACCACAAAATCACATGAGAAAACTCTCCAAGTTACACAAGACCTTACTTTATGGGTCATTAAAAAAAATGTGCTAACTACCATCTTTTGACCCACAGGTCATAAAATCATCACCTGTTTACCTGAGGCAACCTTGCGACAAGTATGGGTGATGCCAGCAGCTAGTAGTCAGATTTCACAGACCCAAACTCAGGTCATTGAAACAAAGTTATGTGGGCAATAGGTTAACTCTCAGCAGGTGTAAAGGGAAGGTGGGGTTGGCAGCCCCCAACAATGAACACTAAGGGGTTTGTTTTTTTATTGCTTTGTGGGTTTTAGTCATGTAATCTCCTTTGTACACCACTTTGAGAATTATTTTCAATCAAATCGTTTACGTTTTTCCTAAATAAAATATGTAAACTTTGCAGCGTAATGCAACAGATCTAGAGTAGCGACAGCCAGCATGGTGTTGGATTGGAAAGACAAGCTAGGATTGAGCAGAACCAGGTTCAAATTCCCCACTGGGCCCCGAAGCGGCTCACTCTCTCACTCTTTCTGAGCCTCAGCTACTTCACGGGGTTGTTGTGAGGACAGAATGTGGTGGTGGTGGTGGGATCCATTTGGGGGTGCCAAATTTTGGTCTCGCATAGGGCACCGTATTACAAAAGATTGCCAAAGTATGCCGCTGGATGCAGTACCCTGAGATGCCTTGAGGAAGGATAAATATGCAACGTCCTTGAAGGGTGGAATAAGAATGTAATAAATAAAAACAAATAAATATCTAATATTTGGGGCATCACTCTTATATATTAAAGGATGGGAAGAATACACAAACAGAGCAACGAAACATAGAACAGGATATATTCTTTGAGGCGGGAAATAAATGTGGCCCTCCAGACATCTCTCTCTGGCCCTTCAGACTCTTCCCAGGCTACACCCACTCCCCAAACACACACTCTCTCCTGTGCAGAAACAAGCCTACTGCACAAGGGCAAACGTTGATATCAACTGCCCTGCCCACTTTTGCCTCTAGCCCCGCCCGCCCTGGCATGTGGCCCCTGGAATGCTGCTCAGAAGGGGATGTGGCCCTCGGGCTGAAAACTATTCCTCACTCCCTGCCCTGAGGGAGAGTTAATTTAGCACTCAGAATTGCCAGCCTTCACAGGAGGCCAGCTGGAAGAGGCATGCTCAGAGGTGCGCAGGAGCCTTTAATTAAGGGACTACCGTAATTCAATTTGCACCACAGCAGCAGCTGCCTCTGTTCACATGAGGGTGACCTAGCACACACACATACACACTAGAGGGTTTGAAATTTGAAAGAAACCTACCATGGCTTGCTCGCATCTTTCTTCCTCTATTCCTGTCCCAGCAGGAAGCCTGCCCTATTTAAAGTCCCAGAGCCAAGTCCCACCCCCTATTCCCCCCCTCACTCCACAGTTAAGCGTCATGTTACAAAGTGACCTACAAGCCTAGGCACACAAGCCCCAGTCCCCACTTTAGAAGCAGCCCGTCTTACGCTTCTCCTTAAAAAGCAAGCGGCAAAAATATATGATCAAACCAAACGTCCCACTGCCTCAGGTTAGGGGGCCATGTGGTATCAAGACATCTCTCTCCTCAGAACCACCACACTTTAAAAGCTCCTTGAGCTGATCCGCTTCTCGTTCAGTCTAGTTTCTTAAAACTCTGTCACTAGCAAGTGAGGGCTACAGCTCAAGGCCTCACACAAGTAGCCCCCCCCCCCAATTCAGCTCTGCAAAAAGAGGTACAGGATCAGGCTGGGTGCTGTGTAAGAGTTAAGCTTGCCGAATCAAAGGCAAGCACTTTACAATGCAGTTCAGCAGCACTGCTGCAAGGAAACTACCAGTTTAACCCAACTTTACAGGGTTGCGGTGCATAGCTACCTCATTTTATCCTCTCGTTATCAAATTAGAAGATACACAGTCGCCCAGTTTGGATGATCATTCCAGGCTTCATAAACCAGAATCTTGGAGCCAAAGGTGGCAGAAAATAGGAGAGAAGGGAGGAACACTTGGTTCACACTCTCAGCTTCAGAAACCATGGTTTGCGAAACCTTAGATAATTGTCTGAACCAGGACATCGGCTCAGTTCGGAATCCCTTGCAGATGACCGCAATGCCTGGAGGCAAACAGTCAGGTTTGTGTATCCATAGCAGTGACCTGAGAAGAAACAACCGCTGGGAGGAGCACAGAGAAGAAATGACATGGTGCATCTGCAGTAGCACAACTGGGCCGCTTCTCCTGCCCCAGCTGCAACAAAACATGTATCTCCTGCATTGGTCTCTATGGCCGCGGCAGGCGCTGCAACCTTCCAGCAGCTTGACCTCCCCACCATAGGTCTCATTGTCTCCCGAGACAGATGGATGCCAGCAACAAGAATCCTGCATACACACATAATGGAAGTGATTAATTCAGCTAAATACAGTGGCACCTCAGGTTAAGTATTTAATTTGTCCCGGAGGTCCGTACTTAACCTGAAACTGTTCTTAACCTGAAGCACCACTTTAGCTAATGGGGCCTCCCGCTGCCGCCGTGCCGCCAGAGCACAATTTCTTTCTCATCTGTGGGCAAAGTTCTTAATCTGAAGCACTATTTCTGGGTTAGCGTAGTCTGTAACCTGAAGCGTATATAACCTGAAGCGTATGTAACCCGAGGTACCACTGTATAAGAATCCCCTTGAAAACCAATTATACCTTAGAACTCCATATGACTTCTGTTCAGGGGCAGCTTCTAACGGCACCCACATCTATGGGAAATCAGAACACACACACACCCTCCAGCCAAGGGGCCTCTGGGCCAAATTCTCTCCAGTGCCAGGGAAAGCTCTTTCCCATCTTCTCGTTCCCATCCTGGGCACACCTTCCACTCCCTGGGGACTGTAGCTTCTCCACCCTTAACCCCAAACCACACATGCGGCTGTGTGGTGCATTGTGGGAAGGCCGTCCCTGCTCTCATACGTACGCAAGAACACACGGAACAAGAGTCAAGAGCCAAACTTAGACACAACTTTAAACCCACCCTTCCCCAAAACCATTTGGGGAGCAGGGAGTGACAAGGATCCACAGTGTACCCGTCTCCCTCTATGGCTAAGGGCTGTGACAGAGCACATGCTTTCACCTCAAAAAAGGCCCCAGGTTCTGTCCATGGCAGATAGGGCTGGGAGAGACCCCTGCCTGAAACCCCCAGCCACTTCATGTAGGCAACACTGAGCTGCTCCGTAGCGGCCTGACTCATGGTAAGTCAGGTTCATATTTTCCATATGGGGAGGAATTTACATCGGAGAAATACAATAACACACACACTACCTGTGCCCAAGACCAAATTGCGCCCCATGCAGCAGCTTTTAACCACATCTAGTTTGCCCCCAGCAACCCCAAAAAGACCCCTGACTCACACAACTCCTGAGCACTTATGCTCACCAAATCCCCGCGTACGCACCTGCAAACGCACGACTTCCCTGCCTCACACAAGCCCTATGTCATCCACACCATTCTCTTGCATTATGTGGCAGCGAGCACTGAACCCTAACTGGCCAGAAAGGCAGACACTCTGCACATGCTCAGAAGAACTCACACATAGTAATATTCCTAGCATTTCCTCTTGACTAATACTCTATGAGCTGGTTAATGATATATAGTTCTAGGTAACTCAGATAATAACAAGTGACTAAAATTTTTCCTATAGGTAAAAGCAACAGTATTGAGGGGAAAACCCCACTACAGTATCATTGTTTTGATTTTTCCAGTTAACTTGTGCGTGAGTCATGACAACCATCTCAAAAGAATAGGCACTCCCACCTTGTGGGTGTGAGAGAAGGTGGCAGTTCCTTCCAGTAATTAGCTAGCTACTTGTATTTTTTATACGTACTTTTATTTTCTTTTTACTGGTGTGTTACATTCCTATCCGGCCTTTCTTCCAAGGCACTCAAGCAGTGCACAGAGTACACCCCCATATTATCCTTGCCTTGCACAACAGCCCTGCAAAGTAGGCTGAGAGAAAGAGAGAGAGCAACTACTACTAGCCCACGATGGACAGTGAGCTTTGTAGCCAACTGGGGATTTCAATCCAGTATTCCCAGTAAGACGTTTTCACTACTAATTCACAGCAGCTTTTGTGTCAAAAACAGTCAGTTTGTTGTAAAATCCGATGCCTAATTTAATCAGGGATATGCATGCTTTTTTAAAAAAAAGCTGATTAATATATTATGAAGTCGAAACCCTTTACACATTTGCCTGTATATTTATTATTTACCAATTATATTTCCATACCACCTTTATCTTCCAAGGAGCTCAATGTGGTGTAAATGGTTCTCCTCCCCCACACTTCATCCTTACAACAACCCTGGGAGGGAGGTTAGCCTGAGAGACAGAGAGTAACCCAAGGTCACCCAATGTGCTTCACGACCGAGTGAAGATTTGAACCCTGGTCTCTTCCCAGCTCGCAGAATGACACTCTTAACTGTTAATTTACTGCTGCACTTGGTTAAAGTGATTACAGGCATTGCAGCCCAAACTATTCACAAGTTTTGGGACTGAAGATCAAGGAGGTGTCCCAGGAGCCCAAGGTCACATACACACTATGTGTATAAACATCCCTAATCCTTGTCTCCGTTTACCTTTGGAGCCTAGGGACCCTTTCCGCACCCATGCCAGCTCCTTCTGGCCACATCTACTCAAAGCCACCTTCAGCATCGGTGTAGCCAGGATTTTTGTTGGGAGGGCAGAACCTCAGTTAGCTATGTATTTTTATTTATTTATTTATTATTGATTGGGGGCTAGCTGCCCCCCCCCCGCTACACCCATGCCACCTTGCAAACTGCCCGCCCCGCCCCCCGCGCGCAGAATTCCCTACAGTATTTGTTTTAAACTATTTATGGCACCGAGCGGCCACGTCTGACAGCTGCGTGACAGGCTGCAGCCCAACAGGTGATGCGCAGCGGTGGGAGGTGGAGGAAGAAGCTCATCGGCGAAGGAATGCTTCGACTGTTATTCAGCTGCTATTCCCGCCACATGGGTGTTGGGCGGACCTTCTCCTGCCCACCTTAAGCCGTCTCCCCTCCAAACCGCCGCCACGCTTCTCCACCCCCCTCCCAGAGAAGAGGGGGCTCGATTTCCCCCTCGCCCCCACTTCTCTGTCCCGGGGAGTTCCCGACCCGCTCCCCATGTCTCCTTCGCCCCCCTTCCCTGTCCTGCCCTCTGGGAAACCCCCGATGCTTCGCCTTGGCGTTTGCTCCCCCTAACCCAATTCCTTCCGCCCCCCCAACCTCGCCTCCTTGCAAGCAGAAGGATCCCCTTCCTCGCCGCACCTGCCCAGACCTACCAGCACCTCGGGGTGCGATCCGGACGCGTCCGCTCCGTCGTGACACCTGGAGAACAGGCGAGGGAGCTCGGAGCCTTGCAAGCGTGGCCACGTTGCATCAGCCAAGCTCCCCCCGCGTCCAGAGGCGGGCAAAAAAGCCTTCCGACCCCGCCCAGCGCCTCGGCGCCGCCTCTCGTGTACTGCCGCTTTCGAAACCGCGCTCTTCTCGCAGTGGAGGCCGCGAAAGATGGAAGATCTCTCCCCGCAACCCTGCGCCTCTTTCACACATGCACGCACACACGTGTCACGCGGCAACGGCTGAGGAAGCAGCACATGCCGTACGACGTTCATATTGGGTAATGTTTGGGCATAAGAACACCCGCAGGAGGAAGGGGCACTCCGGGACGTCCAGGGAGTGGACTACAATTCTTATCATGCCGGTAGGGCCTGATGGGAGTCCTGTAACATTTGTATACGTGCGGTGCCGCCCTTTTTCTCCGGTAAAGGAAGAGGAAACGGCAAGAAAGAAGGGGAAATCAGGATAAAAGGCGCGGGGGTGGGGTGGGGAGGAAGACAGGAAGGGAGAAAACATGAAAGAAAAGAGAAGTAAATTGATGTGCTGCAAAGAATGGCAGAATAAGAGAAGATATGTGCACGCGCATATATGCTGGTTTTTACGTGCACACACGGTTATGAAGATTGAAAGGAAAAGATTCCCCTTTATTTTCATCCTTTCTCATCTGTTTCTTTCAAAGGAGCAGCATGGCTCCTTAGAAAACTCTGTAAGTTCGGTTGCACAAAAACTTTGTTCACGCTGCACAGATGTGTCCAGCTGATGATTCATTCTTTTGACATTCTGCCCTTCCTCCGATTAGGAGCACGTGACAGCTAGCGGTATTAAAAAGCAACAGAACACACAGTAATAAAAGCATACTTTAAAATCATAATCAACTTCAGCAGCAGCAATGGCCATAATACCAGCCCTGAAAAAAACAAAACTGTTTTCAGTATGAACCAAAAGCAGTAAATAGAAGTATAGGTATTCTGTTTCAACTTTGGAGGGCATTCAAATAATGAGGGAGTTCCACAGGTGGGGGGGGCACCACCAAGAATGAGCTGCTTTGTGTAAATGTCCTCTTAGATGTTGGATGTTGTCTCCTGGATGGCACAAGAAGTAGGACTTCCTCTACCCTAAACAGAGCTCCTTGGGTTCCAGGTCATTTAGGGCTTTATATGCAGGCCCCTGCTTCTGCCAACCTAGCAGTTCGAAAGCACATCAAAGTGCAAGTAGATAAATAGGTACCACTCCAGCGGGAAGGTAAACGGCATTTCCGTGTGCTGCTCTGGTTCACCAGAAGCGGCTTAGTCACGCTGGCCACATGACCCGGAAGCTGTACGCCGGCTCCCTCGGCCAATAAAGCGAGATGAGCACCTCAACCCCAGAGTTGGTCACGACTGGACCTAATGGTCAGGGGTCCCTTTACCTTTATACTAACAGCAAAACCTTGAATTTTTAGATCACTAGCAGATAGTGCAGAGCTTTAAGAATCAAGTGAAGTGATCCGTACTTGCTGTTCCAGACCACCTTCCAGAGTTGCCCACAAAAGTTAATGTTGTTACACTGCTCTGGGATTTCTTGATTCAAAATCACGCTGAGTTGTATCCAGACATATCCAGAAACTTGAGATTAATTTCCAGAAAGCTGCTTCTTCATCCCGGGAACCATCATGCAAAATTGGGTTACTGTATCTTAAGAGTTGTCCAAATGCATAGGAAACAGACAAAACACCTTTCCCCCAAAATTATTTATTTATATCATATTTTATCTATTTATTACACAGTATATTTTTTCATTACAGTTGTCTTCCACCTTTCTTCCAAGGAGCTCAAGGTGGAATGCATGGTTCCTCTCTTCCCATTTTATCTCCCTGTGTCGTAGGGGAGTCGGTAGCCATATATGTTTGTTTCTTTTTTCTGTGAATATAATGTAATAATTGCATTTCTTTAAAATTAAAAAGAAAACGGATGGCGGATGCCAAATCCAGTTATTAACATCCCGCATAATGAAACAGATAAGAAATGAGTGAGTTCCTCGTGGGCATTAAGCTCTGTACAGGTTGAACAGGTTTCTACACAAAGGTATTCCAAGCCAGGTATTTAAGGCTATCTGTATTGGGAATGTGGCTGGACTTGCTGGTTAACTCTTCTTTCTTTCTTTCTTTCTTTCTTTCTTTCTTTCTTTCTTTTTTTTGTAATATTTTATTAGTTTTCCAAAAATAAGAAAAATAAAACAACAGCAATACAAATTCAAAACCAAACAGAAGAAATTGACTTCCCCCTTGTCCCTTCCTTGGTTCCGTTATTTATCAGCATTCCACATGTCCATTGTAAATTTAAAAACCATTAAAATTACTAAGGAAATCAGCCCTGAGTGCTCACTGGAAGGACAGGTCCTGAAGCTGAGACTCCAATACTTTGGCCACCTCATGAGAAGAGAAGACTCCCTGGAAAAGACCCTGATGTTGGGAAAGAGAAGGGGACGACAGAGGACGAGATGGTTGGATAGTGTTCTCGAAGCTTCCAGCATGAGTTTGACCAAACTGCAGGAGGCAGTGGAAGACAGGAGTGCCCGTGCTCTGGTCCATGGGGTCACGAAGAGTCGGACACAACTAAACGACTAAACAACAACAACAACAACAAAATTACTTATTGTCCATTCATAATAAAATTACAAGTAGTCCTAGAACCCTGCTAATGTATTAACTTTTGTACATTGCTTCTGTATATATGCAATAAAGTCCTTCCAATCTTCTTTAAATTCGTTGTCGTCTCTTCCTCTTAGTTTCATTGTCAATTTTGCCATTTCAGCATATTCCATTAATTTAACTTGCCAATCTTCTTTGGCTGGGCCACCTTCTTCTTCCCAATGTTGTGCTAGTAATATTTGTGTGGCCGTAGTTGCATACATAAATTAGTTCTTGTAATCTTGGTAGGTCCACTCCTGTAATACCTAGTAGGAAAGCTTCTGGGTTTTTTTAACAAAGGTTATTTTAAACATCTTCATTTCATTATAAATCATTTCCCAATAATTCTTTTACAATCCCACCACATGTGAAAAAATGTCCCTTCTGTTGTTTTACATTTTCAACACTTGCTTTCTTTAGCTTTGTACATTTTTGCTAATTTGACTGGAGTTAGATACCACCTATACATCATTTTCATATAATTTTCTTTAATCGTCACACATGCTGTAAATTTTATCTCACTCTTCCATAGTTTTTCTCATTCCTCCATCTGAATATTGTGTCCCACATCTTGTGCCCATGCCTTGCTGGTTAACACAGTTGGTTAGAGCATGGTGCTGATGATGCCACGGTCACAGGTTTGATCCAGGCATGGGTACATGTTCCTGCATTGCAGGGGGTTGGACTAGATGACCCATGGGGTCCCTTCCAACTCTATGATTCTAGCATTGCAACCTGGCTAGTTTACACTTGGCAGGGATTAAAATTTAGCCCATGAGGCCATGCCACACAAACCACAGACACAATTAAAATGCATCTTCTACCTTTGAGCACAATGTTGGTAAGCTGGGAACCTTAATAAGCAGACGGCACTAGGGCCAATTTGTGGATTGGGCATTCTAGTAAGCTAATGTTGGTTGGAGACATATGTATAATGTATTTGTTCTTTATATAGAATGCTTTTAAAACGTGTCGCAAACTTCTGTTCTTTCTGTTTCTTAAAATCTTGGTATAATAAAACCGTGCGGTTTCACTACCAGTAAGGTAAAAAAGGTTTCACTATCAATAAGCTTGATGTGAAGCCAATATATCCTTTGCAGCTGCCTGGCAACCAGAACAAAACATTCGTGTTTGTTTGTGCGAGAGGGATTCCCCTTACAGAGGGGGTAAGAAGCAGGTCAGGTCTAGCAGATAAGCAACCTGGACTCTGCTACCCACTTTAAAGCTACATGCACAAATGTTCCCATGCAATGTGAAGAAGAACAAATACTGTAACACTGCAAGCCTGGATTTTGGCAAAGAAGAATGTTGCTTTCAAAATCCTGTGGGTTTCTGGAGTCTGTGGGATAGGACTGTGCTTCTAAAAGGCAGCTCTGTCCTAAGGAACAATTACAGAGAAGCCAACTCTGAGAAGGCAGCCGCAATGGCAAAGAAGGATTGCAGTTGGAGAATTGCAGTTTATAAGACTGCAGGAAAAACATCTCCTTTTCTAAAGCCTTACCTTGTTTCTATTTTTGCTTGTTATGTGGATCCCTAGCCAGAATCCTTTGCATGTGTAAGTATCCCTCCATCCCTGCTTTGGGTGTGGATCAGGGGTGCCGACTTGGGCCCCAGTTTATGGGTGCCCAGCAGCATGCATGCTGTGATGTCATGACATCATGTTACATTGCACGCTGCAGCAGCGCTTGGAAACCCCAGAAGTCGCATCCGAGGCCCCGCGATAAGGGTGCCAAGCACCCACAACAATATTTTGTGGGTGCCTGAACCCCCAGGGCCCCCTAGAGTTGGTGCCGGTGGTGTGGATTAGGGTCAGGGCCAGCCCAATATATTTTGGCACCTGAGACAAACCACAAAATGGTGCTTCCTCCAGCAGGAAAGAAGGGGTGAGTGAAGATCTGCATTGGGAACAGGGGGGAATAAAGAGCTGCACTGGGAACAAGGGTGGGAGGGGACCAGCAGTGATTCCTATTTGCCAAGAGGCCACTGTAGAGGTGGCATGGAAGGGATGCCAAGGAGGCAGCAGATCTGGACCATAAGCCAGTGTGGTGTGGTGGTTAAGAGCTGTGGACTCGTAATCTGGTGAACCAGGTTCGCTTCTCCGCTCCTCCACCTGCAGCTGCTGGGTGACCTTGGGCCAGTCACACTTCTTTGAAGTCCCTCAGCCCCACTCACCTCACAGAGTGTTTGTTGTGGGGGAGGAAGGGAAAGGAGAATGTTAGCCGCTTTGAGATGCCTTCGGGTAGTGATAAAGCGGGATATCAAATCCAAACAACTCCTCCTCCTCCTCCTCTTCTTCTTCTTCTTCTTCTTCTTCTTCTTCTTCTTCTTCTTCGCAGCATGGCACAGCTATAATTGCCACCATGGCGGCAGCAGCAGATGATGCATTTCTTGGAGG